GAATCCCACATCGGGCTCCTGGTGCATGGAGCCTGCTTATCCCTCTGCCTGTGTCTCTGCCTCTCTCTCTCTGTGACTATCATAAATAAATAAAAATTTAAAAAAAAAAAGATTCCTCATTTGTAAAAACACGGTAATCACGCCTTCCTTATAAGGACCTGTAATTCACTTAGAATAGCTAGGTCTGAAAACACTCAGTAAATGTTAAATGACAACAACCAAGTAATACAAGTTCATTCTCAGAAGTATTTCCAAAGAACACTGATAGGAAATAGTTTATTTTTTAAAATTATGTGACTAGACACAATATACTTATGTACTGCTCGATGATTGCTGGAATGGGAATATAGCACAGTGAGCATTCAAGAGATTTCAGCTTCTCTGCCATTTTATGTTCAGTTTTATACACGTAATCTCACCTGCCAAAATCTGCTGGAATCCTTTGATGGTCTCCTTCAGAGGTACCAGCTTCCCCATATGACCTGTGAAAACCTCAGCTACCTGGAATGGCTGAGACAAGAAACGCTGTATTTTCCGTGCACGGGACACAGTCAACTTGTCTTCCTCAGAAAGTTCATCCATACCCAGGATAGCAATGATGTCCTGGAGAGATTTGTAGTCCTATGAGAAAACAAGAAAGGCCTGAATAAATACTTACACAAAATATTTTTCTTTTTTTATTTAAGTAGGCTCCATGCCCAAAGTGGGGCTTAAACTCACAAGCCAGATATCAAGAGTTGGATGCTCTGACTGAACCAGCCAAGCACCCCAATATTCATTCTTTCAAATTTGGACAAAAACCTAAGGGTTAATACCACCTTGTACCCAGCGCTTTGTACAAAGCATTTTAGCACCTTACCTCACAAAGTAAACAAGTTAGTAGTGGTGAAGTTACATACTTGGGATCCTGAGGGCCCTCAGCTAAGATCAAGGTCTTATCCTCCCCTCTAGTCTGGTGCCATTAGAAAACGGATTCCAAACCTAAGTACCTGGAAACCCAAGAGTTCTCCTTCACACTAATAGAAAGTGGTAGTTTCATCTTTCCTTGCTCCAAAGCAAATCACACAGGTCACCAGGAAAGATTTGCTATTAATATTGTCCCCAAAAACCCACCGTATGACTTTATGGCCACTGATCTCACCTGCATTACTCACCTGCAGAATCTTTTGTACCCCACGAGCAACATCATAATGCTCATTTCCAACAATGTTGGGATCCATGATTCGAGAGGTAGAATCCAGAGGATCCACTGCTGGATAGATGCCCAACTCAGCAATAGCACGGGACAGCACAGTGGTAGCATCCAAATGGGCAAAAGTAGTTGCAGGGGCAGGGTCAGTCAAGTCATCAGCAGGCACATAGATAGCCTATAGTGAGTCAAGACCCCATGAGGAGCAGCAGGAAACCAAGTAATTTGATTTAAGCCACCCTTTTTTGACCTCTCATCATCTTTTAGCATTCGAGACTCAACCTCAAAAATAGCCTTATCATTTCTAATACCTGCTGAGTGAGCATATAGATGATCTGGTCCCTCCAAGCTGTGCTCAAAGAATTCATTGTCATTCCTTTTGTTTTTCATCCCCCATTTTAACTCTATTTTATTAATACCCACAGTTTCAGTTAAAAACAAAAAATCCTGCATGACTACAGCAGTTCACTAGGTTCACTGAAAGTCACAACAGTTTAGACAAAGTAATTTTGCTGTGTGTGTATATATACACATACACACATCATCTATATCTGCAGATGTGTGGTGTGGCACATTAGTGCAGTACATAATTAATGCGGTTTCCATGCAGTTCCAAACTCCTAAGGCTTTCTAGAAACCACTACTTTGTGATCCACATTCACATGTATGTCGTCTTCAACTACTTCAAATGAGCATTTCTTAACCTTCTAGGGTCTCTAACATGCACACATAGAATTTTATACATTATTTTGGGGAGCTCATTAACCTGGTCAAAACCTTGAGACATAAGCAACTAGGTTGTATACTTTCCTGTATATACCTCTATACAAATTAGACCTTCAACCATTTCATTGTTCTTACCTGTACAGAGGTAATAGATCCCTTCTTGGTGGTGGTGATTCTTTCCTGCATGGTACCCATATCAGTGGCCAAGGTAGGCTGATAGCCCACAGCAGAAGGGATCCTGCCCAATAAAGCAGACACCTAAAAAAAGAAAGAAAAAGAACAAAGGTATTAGGTGTCTACATCTTTAGCCTCATCTGCACCATTCCATAGAAAAGTCCAGGAAATAGGTTCTTTCGAGGCTTCTTACCTCAGAGCCAGCCTGGGTGAAGCGGAAAATGTTATCGATAAAGAGCAGTACATCTTGACCCTCTTGGTCTCTGAAGTATTCGGCAACAGTCAGTCCAGTCAGAGCCACCCGGGCGCGAGCGCCAGGCGGTTCATTCATTTGACCGTACACCAGCGCTACCTGGAGTAATCATACACAATCAGAAAACCTGGCAGGGGAAAATGGAAGCCGTATACCCAAGGTCTCCAAATCGGAGAACTACCAAAAACCCTCCTTCTCAGAAAGTGTCAAGATTTTGGTTTGCAAATTTCTTTTCCCTTTTAGAGATGCGGCTCAAAATAACACAAAGATAGTTTCTTATAGCGTTAAGGCAAAACTCCTGAAATAGGAAGGAAATAAAACGAAGAAAGGCACAAAACAGGGTTAATTGGAGACACAGAAGTATCTCCAACTCCCAAAATTAACTTTCAAATGATGGGACTATCTACTAAAAACAAAGTTTGGAAACGTAATGTCAATGAAGAAAGAAAATATACTTTAGTGTATCACAAGCTGCAGGAAAAACACAGAAATTTTTGTAGCCCCTGGGACACTAAAATGAAAACGTAACGCATGGCTTCAGCAAGTAATACAGTCAGCTAAAATGGTTTCCTGGCACTACTACTACGTGGACATAAACCAGGTCACTACTTACCTTGGAGGTAGCATCTTTTAAGTTGATAACACCAGACTCAATCATTTCATGGTATAAGTCATTGCCTTCACGGGTCCTCTCACCAACACCAGCAAACACAGAGTAACCACCATGGGCTTTGGCGACATTGTTGATTAACTCCATGATCAGTACTGTCTTGCCAACTCCAGCACCACCAAACAGCCCTGGAAGAGGTTGAAAAGAAGTAATATTTAAGCATTGTGTGTTCCCAAATAAGCAAACTTAGAAAAAAAAAATTACACTAGTTTTCTATCTTTTCCCTTCTCAGGAATGGCATCTGGCTTCAGCAAACTCAGAAGAACGAAAGTCAGAAGCTACTCATCAGTGAGGGATAGATCTTAGTACCTACTTCTTACACTGCAGGATTTTTCTTCCCACATTAGGTTTGGAAAATATGTACTACAAATAACTTACCAATTTTGCCACCCTTGGCATAGGGAGCCAGCAGATCCACAACCTTGATACCAGTTACCAGAATTTCCTGCTCAACACTCATTTCCACAAACTCAGGGGCTTCAGCATGAATAGCTGCAAATCTGTAGAGGTAGGTAGAGAGGATCAGTGTCTTTTTATTCATCTTGTTGAAAGTTTTCTCTCAATTCTCATCTCTTATACAATACTCCACACAAGCTGGCATCTGGCACCTCGCCTAACATTCTGCAATAAAGGGGATTCCATTTCCATTATCTCAGGAAACCATAATCGCAATTCCTAACAACTTTAACAGTCATAAAGATTTTCCTTTTGCTAAGCCCTAACCTAACAGCACTTCTTCATGCGTCAATAGGAAATACAAAGACCCACCAATTCTGGAAACCCCACAACCTCAGCCATTGGTATTATTATGATTTTTTTTAAAAGATGTTATTTATTCATTCAGGAAAGACATGGAGAGGTGGAGACACAGGCAGAGGGAGACGCAGGTTCCCTGTGGGGAGCCCGATGCGGGACTCGATCCCAGGATCCAGGAATCACTACCCAGGCTGAAGGCAGACACTCAACCGCTGAGCCATCCAGGCATCCCAGCCATTGGAATTAAAACTCACATAATCAACTTGAGTCCTAAGCAGCACTGTTTTTTTGTTTTGTTTTTTACAATCAGAACTTTTGCATCCTTAATTTTCTTAAGAAACTATATCTACGGTTTTGATAACAATACATCAGGGACGCCTGGGTGGCTCAGTGGTTGAACATCTGCCTTTGGCTCAGGGCATGATCCCGGGGTCCTGGGATCCAGTCCCACATCAGGCTCCCTGTGAGGAGCCTGCTTCTCCCTCTGCCTAGGTCTCTGCCTCTCTCTCTGTGTTTCTCATGAATAAATATAATCTTTAAAAACAAACAAACAGGGATCCCTGGGTGGCGCAGCGGTTTGGCACCTGCCTTTGGCCCAGGGCACGATCCTGGAGACCCGGGATCAAATCCCACGTCAGGCTCCCGGTGCATGGAGCCTGCTTCTCCCTCTGCCTGTGTCTCTGCCTCTCTCTCTCTCTCTCTGTGTGTGACTATCATAAATAAAAAAAAATAAAAACAAACAATATATCAGCATTTTAAGCAGTCTCTGCAGGAACATTTTGCTACACTACAGGTGTTGCCTTCATATACAAAACTACAGAGGGGTGCCTGGGCGGCTCAGTCAGTAGAGCAGGTGACTTCTGAATTCAAGCCCCAATTCTGGTGTAGAGCTTACTTAAAAAAAAAAAAAAAAAAAAAAAAGTAGTTCCTTTGCATGTAAATGCAGCAAGAGGGATACTTACTGTTTGGTTTTGATGGGACCTCTCTCATCAATAGGTTCTCCAATGACGTTCATGATTCTGCCCAAGGTCTCAGGACCAACAGGAATTTTGATTGGTGCACCAGAATCCAGGACTTTCTGGCCTCTAACCAAGCCTTCCGTGCCATCCATGGCAATAGTCCTCACTGTGCTTTCACCTGTTAGTTGAAGATATTGCAAGGTTACACAGAAGGACAAGCAGGCTTGGTATTTAATGTTCAGCTGGCATGAAAGACCTAAAGCAACCAAGACTCCTTCTCAGTACCTGAAATGTGGCTTCAGCAAACTCAGAAGAACGAAAGTCACTTTGATATAATCGTCATTGAAGGAGGACCGATTTGGGGGGTACTTGGTACTCAGCAAGTTCTTTACAATTCCTAAGAAATTCTACTTACCCAAATGCTGGGCCACCTCCAAAACCAGCCTGGTCTCCCTGCCTTGCACTTCCAGGGCATTTAGGATGGGTGGTAGTCCTTCATCAAACTGGACATCCACCACTGCACCAATGACCGCCACGATGCGCCCGGTGGCAGCACCTGCCTTCGGCGAAGGAGATGTTTGGGTGGCATAGTCTCTGGCTAACAGACAAAAAAAAAAAAAAAAAAAAAAAAAAAAATGTTGTTAGAAATTGGGGTGAGGGCAGTTAATGGTCACATGCACTGGCAAATTCGGCCCAAGACCGGCCTCCTCTTGCTTTCAATTAAGACAAGTCCGGAGGGAGGGCCGCGCAGGAACCAAGAAGGCGCCTGCACAATCTTCCCATGCACAAAACTCCATTATTCGCGGCCTCCGTGCCCCCGTCCAAGGGAAGGTCAAGGCACCTGCCCGCACTTCGCCGTCACAGAGAGCCCTTTCCCAAAATGAGGCATATTATATCGAAGAAGGCTCCCATAGGCGACCTATTCTTGTTCGCCCGCGGTTAGAGGGCAGGGCGCCGGCCGGGACGTCCTTCGGTCACCAGAAATGCCTCAGGCCCGAGTGACAAGCGGCCTGCGGCTCAAGGTCATGGGGCGGCAGAAGCGAACCCGGCTCCCAGAGGAAGGCACTCACCGGACTGGAGCGCTGCCGGGCTGGCCCGCAGCAAGACCTGGACTTGGGGTAGCGGCGAGGGGCCGAGTCCCCGCAAGGCCCCAGAGGCCGAGGTAGCAGCCACTCGACCCACGAAACCCAACATGGCGGAGCCCGGGTGGAGACTGAGCGCCGCAGCGGTGCGGGCCGCCGACTCCCCCGTTAGGGCGGGGCCTACTCTGCAGTAAGCACGGCCATTGGATGAATTTGCTGAACATCCCTCTCAGTGCTGCTCCTATAGGTTAATAATCTCTGATCTTTTCAACCATTGGTCAAAATCGGTGCCAATCTGAATTCCTTGTTTTCATTGGACAATATCAGGTTAGGTCCACCCTCGGAGCCTCGAGACATAATTGGACAACAAAGATGCCAGTTAGGGAACGTTCTTGGCGGAACTACGTTCCGAGCGGGGCAGAGTTCCTGTCGTGAAGCACGCGGGCTGTCTTTGGCTGTCCTTGGGCTCTCACGTTAGCTGGGACCTTTAGCTAGGCGACGGTCTGCGGGGCGGGACGCACCCCTGACGGTGACCTTAGGGAACTCAGGGCCTTCTCTAGACTCAAAGCACGGTTCTTCTTTTGCAGCAGTGGAATTGGAAGCTTCCAAGTAGTTCAGGAGGTCAGGAATCCGGACACTTAGTACTGTACAGTGAAAGAAACTAGTGTAACCCGGTCATTTAACAGATGTGTGTGTGTGTGCCAGAAATTGAGGAGATAAAGGTAAAATTAAGACTTAGGACCTGCCTTTATTATTATTTTTTTAAAAAGCTCCACGCCCTATGTGGGGCTTGAACTCACCACCCTGAGATCAGGAGTCAGATGGTCTATGGACTGGGCCGCCCGAGTGCCCCAGGACCAACCTTTTAAACAGAAAACGATGCAGAAACGACTAGTGCAGGGTAAAGTGGGTACAGGAAGAAGGAAGGGATGAATTTGGGCCACCTAGAGATGCAATGGAATTGTCTCAAAGTGGAGGAGTTGAATATACTTGTGAAACCAAGTAGAAATTCCAGGGTAAAGTAGACTATTCCAAGCACATGTTTGCGTGAAACTATGTTCTTTTTTAAAAACTGCAGGTGGGGAAGGTTGGAAATAAGGAAAAAAGAGAAACAGTAGTAAAAAGATTAGCAGGAGCCCGCTCTTAGGGCTTTGGATGGAAGTGAAGACAGGGCTGAGGTAAGTGTGTGGAAATGTTCCTTGGTTAGGAAAATCAGAAAACCCAGGGCATTCTTTTCTGTAGTATTGATTTTGGTAGGTTGGAGAGACCCTTTATCTATTAGAATAAGCGTGGCCATATAGAGTTTATCGTGGTGTTAGCTCCCCAGACTTTGTCCCACCAGCTCCCATACGTTCTCATCTTTCTGCATGATTGTGAGAAAGTCTCCTGTTTGGCATGTAGAGAGAGCTATCAAAGAATTAAAGGAGAAAACAGGAAGAGAATGTTAATTTTGGGGTGCTTATGGTAATCTTGCCTAATAAGAGGGAAAGAACCCAAGAAAACAGCAACATGTATGGAGCAGGTAAGAAAAATGAGGGACACCTGGGTGGTTCAGCGGTTGAGCGTCTGCCTTCAGCTCAGGGCATGATCCTGGTGTACGCGGATCGAGTCCCACATTGGGCTCCCAGCATGGAGCCTGCTTCTCCCTCTGCCTGTGTCTCTGCCTCTGTGTGTGTGTGTCTCTCATGAATAAATAAATTTTAAAAATCTTCAAAAAAAAAAAAAAAGAAAGAAAAATTAAACAACAAAGGAAGCAGCAGAGGAATAACGCCAAGGACCATAATGTGAAGAATCAGGGGGAGGGGTACCTGGATGGCTCAACTGGTTAAGCAGCCAACTTGATTTCAGCTCAGATCATGATTTCAGGGTTCTAGGATCAAGACCCTGATCAGGATTGGTGCTCAGCCAGAAAGTCCGCTTCTGGATTCTCACTCCTCTCTCTGCCCCTCCCCGTGCTCTAGCTCACTTTCTCTAAAATGAAATAAATCGGGCAGCCCAGGTGGCTCAACAGTTTAGCGCCACCTTCAGCCCAGGGTGTGATTCTGGAGACCCAGGATGGAGTCCCACGTCCGGCTTCCCACAGGGAACCTGCTTCTCCTTCTGCCTGTATGTCTCTGCCTCTCTGTGTCTCTCATGAATAAATAAAATCTTTTTTTTTTGAATAAATAAAATCTTAAAATAAAATGAATCAATCTTTAAAAAAAGAAAATAAAGGGGGGGGCACCTGGGTGGTGCAGTTGTTGGGTGTCTGACTCTTGATTTCAGCTTAGGACCTGATCTCAAGGTCTTGAGACTGAGCCCTGGTCAGGCTCTGAGCTCAGCAGGGAGTCTGCTGGAGAGTCAGTGTCTGTCGGTCTCTCTCTCTCCTTGCACCTCCTCCCCCTTGATGTTCTGTAATAAATAAATAAATAAATAAATAGATAAATAAATAAATAAATAAATATTTTTAAAAACAGGAAAGAGAATGTTGAGAAAGTGGTCAATAGTATCAATCACAAATATTCTATAAAATCAGGGCTGAAAGGAACCTTCAACTAGGAATTCCAACTAGGAATTCATTCCATGGTGAAGGTGGGGGGTCCAAAGATAATTTGAGTGGGCTGCATCTTAAGACATGATACACATTTTTGATTTATGATCCATGCTCTTTACATTACTCTGGGCAGCATCCCAGTTAATAGGTCCCTATATGTTATGCCCTCAACTATTAAGAGTTGAAGTTGCTCTAGCTAAGCCATGATATCCCACACTGGAGCCAGACTAGGTTAAAATCTTGTTTCTGCTCTTTACTAGATGTCATTGGGAGAGTTAAATTCTGTGAACATCACTTTCTTCACCTATAAAAGAGATAATAAAATGGGAATAATCTCATAGGGTTCTTTTGAGACTTAAGATTAATAATGAAAAAAGTATTTAGAACAGTTCTGGCACATAATTAGCACTGTATCTGTGTTAGCTAGTATTTTTACTATTGACTTAGTGTTAAGATCTTTGGTTTTGGGATGCCTGGGTGGCTTAGCTGTTAAGCATCTCCCTTCAGCTCAGGATGTGATCCTGGAGACCTGGGATCGAGTCCTGCATTGGGCTCCCTGCGTGGGGCCTGCCTCTCTGTGTGTCTCTAATGAATAAATAAATAAAATCCTTAAAAATAATTTAAAAAGATCCTTTGGTTTTGTATCAACAACTTTGGTCTTGGCCAAAATATTATGAATCAACAAACATTTATAGTGACACTTCACTAAACCCAGGTGTCAAAGATTTTCATAAATTTCCAGATTACAGCTCATTACCCTTTGAAATGCATCATACATTTCTGTTTTTTTAGCAGATTACCAAGTAATTTAACTTTTTCTTGGACATTTGGGTTATCATTAAACATCTCAAATTCCAATGCTAAATACTTTCAATGTTATTAAGGTAGATGAACTATTTCTCCATTATGCTCAATTTCATTAACTTCTATTTGCTCTTGATGATGGCCCTTAGCAACTTTATATCTTGTTCTGAAATTAGTGAATCTGCTATATTTGTAAATAATACGAAAATAAAAGTAAACAAATATGATTAGCTTGAAATGAGATAGACCTTTCTGAACAAATAGTGTCATCTATTTTAGAGTTCTGATATGTTTTGGTCCTATTTCATGTTTCTTGATTCCCAGATAGCCCAAGGTACCTATTTTATGTGAAATACAAGCTACTTTTCATGGGACAATAGGAACCACAAAGACCTAATCTGGCTTTTTTTTTTTAGATTTTATTTATTCATGAGAGAGAGAGAGAGAGAGAGAGCAAGGCAGAGACACAGGCAGAGGGAGAAGCAGGCTCCATGCAGGGAGCCCGACATGGGACTCGATCCCGGGTCTCCAGGATCACACCCCGGGCTGCAGGCAGTGCTAAACCGCTGTGCCACAGGGGCTGCCTGATTAGGTGCTCTTCAAATGCTTTTTGTTAAATGCTTTTATATATATATATTTTAGTACATCACTTATCCTTTAACCTAATAGCTTTTTAAGATTTATTTATTCATGAGAGACACACACACACAGAGAGGCAGAGACATAGGCAGAGGGAGAAGCAGGCTCCTCTTAGGGAGCCTGATGCAACTTGATCCTGGATCCGGGGATCATGCCCTGAGCAGAAGGCAGTCATTCAACCGCTTGAGCCACCCAGGTGTCCCCTAATAGCATTTTTTTTAAAGTAGGCTCCACATCCAGCATGGAGCCCAGCCCTGGGCTTTAACTTGTGACCCTGAGTTCAAGAATTGGATACTTGACTGAGCCACCCAAGTGTTCCCTAATAGCATTTTTTGACATATTTTTTGAAGATATTAAGTAATCTCTACACCCAGCATGAGGCTCAAACTTACAACCCTGAGATCAGGAGTCCTATGCTCTACCAACTGGGCCAGCCAGGTGCTCTGACCTATGTTAATTTTTAATGTCAGATTAACTTTTCATTTGTAGCTTCTAGTTTATGATTGGATTTCCCCATAGCATTAGGTAAGAACTTGATTAATAAATTGTTTCAGTGAATGGGTCAGAACAATCTGCATGAGAATCACCTAAGTCAACACTTAGCCATTATGATAAAACACTAGCCATAGGGGGTTATTTAAATTTAGAAAAATTAAAATTGTCAGTGATACTAGCCACATGTCAGATTCTCAGTACCTATGTGACTAGTAATTACTCTATCAGACAAAGATATAGAACATTTCCTTTGTCAAAAAGTCACAGTGGACAGAGCTGATATATCTGCAGTGCCAACTGATTCAGAATCTGCATTTTAGATCTAAAACATTGTCAAGCTTAAGATGTCTTAAAAACGTATCACTGGCCTCCTCTGCCCTCCCATTTCTGACTCAGTAGGCCTGTCTGGGGGCCCAGAATTTGTATTTCTGACAAGTTCCTAGGAAAGACGGATGCAAAGTCCAGGGACTACTCTTCAGAAATTACTGACCTCAAGTATCAGTTAAAGTGCAAATTTGGTCTCTGCATGGACCTACTAAAGCCTGTCTACCTACCAAGGGACCTAGCAATCCATATTATCATAAAGCCCCATGATTTTGATATATTGAGAACCACTGGATTCAAGACGAACCAAAGAAGGAAAGGATGAAACTAGAGCTTCGAGGCTTACTAGTTTTGAGAACAAAGAACAATGGTTGGGGCACCTGGCTGGCTCAAGTTGGCTGAGTTTGAGTCCCAGGTTGGGAAAATTACTTAAAATCTTGGGGCACCCAGATGGTTGAATGTCCCAACTCTGGATTTTGGCGGGGGTCAGGAGATTGAGCTCTACATCAGGCTCCATGCTCAGTGTGCAGTCTGCTTTGGATTCTCTCCCCCTCTCCCTTTGTCCTTCCTCACTTGTGCACTGTCCCTCTCTCAAACAAATCTTTAATAAAAACAAAACAAAAAAACGACTGAGGGACAAATATACTCAACAAAGCTGTTATAGCTGTAGTGGAAGCAGCTTTACAGGTCTCTCACTTCTGAACTAGCGATCATTCAACACACAGCCATGGAAATGGGTTGCTAAATGGAGTATGGAAGTCACTGGATTTGAGGCTAAAAAATTTAGGTTAAAGTTCTGGATAGGTTCTTCACATAATGAAATTATCCAGATTGACAACAAAACTTGTAAGCAAGTGACACGATACGGCTTTCACTTCAGAAAACACTGCTTAACAGCAAAGCAAGACTGACAGTATCTTAAATGCATTGTCATCTCTAGAAATCTTTCTCCAGGTCCCACCCGCCAGTGCAGAAGTTTACCTTTATTTTTAACATATGAATTACTAATTTGTTTCATCTCTAGACCCACTCACAAAACATCCATTTCTGAAATGTATTCATTCAAAAATTATTTCCTGAGCTTGTACCACATTCAGGTGCCATCCCAAGGGCTGGAAATTTATTGGTGATACTCTTCTGAGAACAGACCTCTCAACAATTAATAAAGTGCAGTTAATGTCTAAATTTGAAATCCACAGGCCTGAAAAGCATTATCTAGGATAAAATAATTTAGGGGGTTAGAAGAGGCCTCAGACAAGGTGTCTGCCTCTCCTTTCTTTCCTAGCCTTTATGTTCTCCTGCTTAGTATGCTTGGTGAGTCATGGTTAATAACAGCATTAAAGGTTAGCATACGATGAAGTTCATTATCACTTCAAAAGAACTGCCACCAAATAGAAGAAAGGAAAACCAGCTCAAATTAAATTGGTAGATAGTACATTTATGCTATTATAGCAAATAATTGCCTTTATTTCCTTCCTTGGAGGTACTTTGTAATTTAGGAAGTTGAATATAACCTTTATCACCATTTATCAAATGGACAAACTATGGAAATAGATGCTACTTAAACTTAAAAACTACTCAAGTGGGGATCCCTGAGTGGCGCAGCGGTTTGGTGACTGCCTTTGGCCCAGGGCGCGATCCTGGAGACCTGGGATCGAATCCCACGTCGGGCTCCCGGTGCATGGAGCCTGCTTCTCCCTCTGCCTATGTCTCTGCCTCTCTCTCTCTCTCTCTCTCTCTCTGTGACTATCATAAATAAATTAAAAAAAAAAAAAAACTACTCAAGTGATCCTCTCCCCAGTAATTCCCTTTAAAGCAATAATTACAATTTAGATTTGAGATAACAAGGACAAATATTTCTCCTGAAGTTTTGGCCTACTAATGCCATGCACAAGGTGTGGTACCTGATTGAGCAATAAGGATAATGAAATTCTATTCAAGTGTTTGAAGACAAGATAAATTTAATTTAGAACATCTTAGATGACAGAAATCCATCAAGCTATACTTTCTTATTGCTAGAACTTAATGGCTGGCAATAAAACCAATGAACCCTTAATGAATCTTTAACTTCTAGAACTGACAAAAACAGATTTGTAAAAGAACCACACTAAAAATGTAGTTGAACCGGGGCACCTGGGTAGTTATCTGCCTTCAGCTCAGGTTATGATCTGGGGGTCCTGGGATGGAGCCCTGCGTTGGGGTCTCTGCTCCACAGGGAGTTTGCTTCTCCCTCTCCCTCTGCATGTGCTCTTTCTCTCAAATAATAAAATCAGATCTTTAAAAAAAAAAAAAAAAGGGGAGTTGAACAGCAGCCCAGGTGGCTCAGAGGTTTAGCGCTGCCTTCAGCTCAGGGTGTAATCCTGGAAACTTGGGATGAGTCCCACATCAGACTCCCTGCATGCAGCCTGCTTCTCCCTCTGCCTGTGTCTCTGCCTCTGCTCTGTGTCTCTCATGAGTAACTAAATCTTAAAAAAATAATTTTTTTGAAAAAAGGGAGTTGAACTTTTAAGTAATTTCCCCTGAAGCTAAGAACTATATTTCTTATCAGTCATACTATACCTTTGACATGCTCCAGACAAAGGAGAGCAAGGGTTTTTGTTTGTTTTTGGTGCAAAAAGGTGCCTTATTAAAGCATGGTCGGGACAGGACTCTTAGGCAGAAGAGCTGCTGCACAAAGGAGACCAAATTTAAAACAATTTAAAAGGACTGTTGAAGTTCAAATGTACCTCCCAATGTAGAAAAATCTAGGGCTTTGAAGAAGCTGCATTCCTTAACAGGACCAGAACCCATATTATACTACCGTAACATAATAAAACAGAGTTGAATGCGAAGTGCTATGCCCAGGCCTCCTGGAAAGTATGAAGATTTTCTAGTTCATAGCATTTCAAGAAAATGGTTTTGAGTATCACTCTGAACAGTCATATACTTAACAGGGGAAGGGAAAAAGGTGTTGTCCCTTCTAAATCACCATAATACCCTATGCAAACCTATTATGGCACACTTCCCATCTATCCAGTTTTTGTTCAAAGTTTGTCCCCTGTTGCCTAGCCTGTGACTCCCTGAGTACATTAAGTACCTGAAGAATTGTTTTTATATTTGTAGCACTTAATATTGCCTGTATGTACTTAACGTCAAACATAAAGAAATACGAAATGGGAATCACTTCTATGCTAGGACACAGAACACAGAATACACAGAAGTTAGAGGGAATAAAAACTGCCAAAATGCAGATGCTCAAAGATTTACAGGAGGACAACACATTTAGTTTTATTTCAATCAAATCACAACACTTTCTTTTCCAACTGCTGCAAAGTGCATCTACAATTTGCTATTACAGATCCACTTTTAAAAGGTTTCCTGACATTACAGCAAGCCTTTTTTTCCCAGAGGAATATTCCCAAATTCTTCCTCAAGTAAAAATAAAAAACTCCATTCCAGTAAATGGTAATACATGAATTACAGTAAACCAGACACTTAAAAGGACAGTCAAAAAGTCTTCCAACAGTTTATTAGAAAGAATGTAGACATTAAAAAAAAAAAATCCCCACTGTCATGAACATAAATTGAGGTTTTCAGCCTGGGACAAGCTGAATCAAAAAAATAAAAAATCCAATAGTGTATTAACATTTTTTCCACTCATTTGCCATACTGACAGTGCAAATACAATTTGGTCTAAATGTACAGACTCTCAAGCAACAATGTACAGCCTTTCTTCGTCCTCCATGCTAAGAGATGTAAAAGTTTAAGGGTCAAACAATACCAAATGTACAGGCTTCAAAAACCATCTAAGTTAGGGCATTCACTAGTTTTAGCTAAGATACATCTGGAACACTGACAAGTGATCACTTACAATAATGTGAAGTAAATCTTTTGAAAAATAAAACTTTAGTGGAATAATTCTGGAGGATATACCAGAGGAACAAGTTACCAGTTTAAGGTATCAACCAATTTGTTTCATCAGCCACTCTGAGTCCATGTGCTAAAATCTAAAATTTAGTTATCTTTCTTCTAAGCCAAGATCTTCCTATCATGTCAGTATCTATGTTATGAAGTAAAAGGAGACTGAGGTGAAATGTTTTTATTTACCACAACTGCTGTATCAATTGCCTAGGACCTCAACAGCATCATGGAAGTCTGGGAAAAGTTCATGCATAAGGTTATTGCCTTAGCTGACTTAAAATTGCCCCATACAATGGTACATATCAACCCTTAGTGAAGCCTTTAAAAAAACAAACAGGTTGAAAAATGGGTTAAAGGAGGCAAATACAGCATCTGCCTTTAGAGCTATCAATTCAGGAATTCTCTCAATTATGAAATCTTGCAAAGAAGTTACTTTTCTTTCTCAAAATCCGGTGATGACAACATTTCTTACTCCAGATCTGGCATTTCTGAAAGATTTAAAAAAGATCAGCATGAAGTATAAGGGAACAATCTATCAACTTCAAAGTTTTATTAAAAAAAAAAAAAAGGGCAGTCAACAATAGAATTAGTTTCCTAGGGAATGGTCTTTTTTGGGAATTGTCTTTTTAAATGTAAATTTCAAATCATTCAAATTTCTACTTTTTCTTATTAGAGGCCATGAAGAATTAATTTTTCTTGCAAGAATTGTAAAGAAGTTAACATCTCTATTTTGAGAGCTTGTGGTCTTTGATGTGAAATATCACTATGTAAATAGACTTATTACAAAGACACTTACTTTCATCATCACTGTCTTGTGAATCCTGCAGAAAGAAGAATTTCAAAAGTTACCAAGTTGATCAAACATTCCTCTACTAACTGAACAGTTTGCCTTAAAAAGCTGAAGCACCGTACTTTCACTAAAGTAATAAAGATATGTGGTTATATTAAGCTTATGAATATAATCACTGGACTTAACAGGTTTACTTAAGATGAAGAGACATAATCGCTGAGGATCTACCTTCCTGTAAGGTGTGTGCCTTTTGATGGGAATTGGTGCTCATCCCTTAAATTCCTGACTTATCTTGGTATAAAATGGTTTCTCTTTTCCCTTGGCATTCAATGAAAGAGGAAAACAGCTCACTGTGAAAACTACTGGACTGATACAAGACAAAATGAATTCCAATCCTAGCTATTGAGTTGTCTACATATTTTTCAAACTGTACCGAACAACTTTCTTGAAGATGTTAGCAGGATGCCAACAGGGGGAATGTTGAGAAAAGTGATCCAGTTTATCCTTAAAGATTCAGAAAGGTCCATCTACTTTATGGTTTCTGATCAATCCTGCTACAAAACCTGTTTAACTTAGTCAAGATAATCCCTAGGCTAATTCTTAATTGAATACGGCATATGATGTCTCCATGCAGTGATTCTCTTGAAATCTGGTCCTTTGAAGAATGGTCCATGGGACATCTATTCCCTAGTAGATACCTATCCCTTGAAAAATGAGCACATTTCAAAATTGCTTTTCCCTGTATTTCTTAGGAAAAAAACCCAACAAGAAGTGGCAAAAAAGCAATCCTGAATCTATATAAAACAACCTATAAATACATTGTTTCTTACTATTTAAGTAAACAGAGAAAAGAATTCATAGACTTACATCATCTGCTCCATCTACTTCTGGTAAATCTACATCCTCATCACCACCCATGTTGTTCATCATCTATTTGAAGTGTAAAAATTAGTTTTAAAAATGATGTTAAATTAAGCCCTAGTTATTAGAGGTTGCAAGCTGCAGAATACACCTTAAGTCTGTCATAGATTTCCACCAATAAAAAAAAAAGCAAAACAAATGTTAAGTACCTTCCTTGCTGGAAAAGGTAGATTTTTATAGGTAATTACATAAAATCCTGACAACTTGTAGGGAAGACTAAGTTCTCATTGAAGAAAAGTGAAGTTATTAAAATTTAAAATTTATCTAGCAGATATTTATCTATAATGCAGAAATTAAACACCGAAATCCTGAAGAGTGCTTACCTCTGCTGCCTAAGGAAAAGAATGGGATTCATTTGTAGTTGTAAAGCTTTGTATATCTTAAGCTAAGTGGCATGTGTATTATAAAGACCCTCAGGATGATTACATTGTATAAAAGGCCTGAATCCTAAATCAAAGACTGAACAGCAGTAACATGTTAAAAACAGAAAATAAACATAATTCTTGAAATAAAAGGTACATATACTATGGAGAATAATACCCTTGTGTATGTACTCTTGTATACTCACAAGATGTTGGGACTAACAACACAGCATACTTACATGAAATACTAACTATCTTTAATTTCTTTTCTTTCTTTTGTTTTTACTATCTTTAATTTCTGATCACAAATCAAGCAGTATATTGTTTAAAAAGATACAAAAAAAATCAAACTAAAATCAGATGGGGAGGGACTGCTCTCTTCAAGGACAACTTTTCTGTGTATTTTTTAAATTTTAAAATATTCGCATAATCATACATAACTTTATAAACAAAAAATTAAAAATTCAAATATCTATGCTTACCTGCACTTTAGAGTTAGAAGGGCCCTTTAAAAGCTACCTAATCCTCAAATTGCTCAGTATAAAAGTTCTGGGCAACCTGGTGTTGAATAATATGAATAACTAATAAAGAGTTTCCCTACAGTACTGTTGAACACTTCGGTTAAGTTTCTTTGAGCAGCAAAAATGCTCAAAATGTGCCAAACACAATGCTAGCTGTTGAGGATACAATGGCAATAGAGATAGAACAAACTGAATACATTCAAGAGGATGTAAAACAAAAAACAGAACAAAAGATAGCTGTTAATGTTATACTAGATGGAGACAGTAAGAGAAAACAGTGTTAAGCTGTGACATGCAGAGCTGGGTAAAATGGTGGCACCAATTACTACAGGTAAGGAATAGAAATAGCATAAAGAGAATCTTCCAATCTTCCCTTTCCTCTTTAAATTGAAATCAAGGTGCCAGAACCATGTGAGATGTTGAATAAGCAGTTGCATACATGACACTGGGAATTCATTCCTTTTAGCCCTTAATTTTCAAAGAAGGGATATAAACAAAACCTAGTCAATTAAAATTTCAAATAGCCATGAAATGGATCTCATCTTCAACTTACAACCTAATATTCTGTTTTTCTAATCAGGTTTACTGCAGTACATTTATTTCATAAGGCTTAGTCTACCTAAAGGGAGATCAATGATTTTTTCCCCCTTTGGCCATGCAATATGTATTTGGATGACATCTTGGAAAAAGAGGCTTACTTTAATCCTTTCCTTAATTTTGCGAACTAAAACATCCTTACACACCACTCATCATGCACATCTCACTACCATTTTTGTTTAAAGTTTATATTCATATTACATGGCTCTAAAATGCAAAGTAATTCATGCTCAAAAAAATCAGTTTCAATACTAGAATAACAACTGGCTGTAAAAACAAACAAACCAACACCCCACCCCCCAAAACTATTTTTTATATATTTGCATTGACAATATGGTTTATTTTTGTCTGTATACAATTTTAGAACTTACCACTAATTTTTAAAAGAATTATGAAAGAATGTTAAACTTTAGGATAAAATGATCATTGTTAAGATCTTACTTTGTTTTGCTGCAGAATGACCTTTAAAGTAAAAAAATAGGTCTTAAATACCACTAAGGTGCTTTAAAACCAAATTAAATTCACATAGAAATGTACTGAGAGGTGGTAAAATGCGCTTATAGGAACTTACCTCAGAGAAACGATCAAAATTAGACATGTCTTCATCTGAATCATCTTCCCAGTCTTTCCAATTATTGAAGTCCACACTAAGCCAATTAAGCTATAGATCGATACAAACATCTTATAATTAGGTTAACTTATACGTACAGGTATGTATGTATGTACCTTAAACAATATTTTTGGGACTGTAGGTTCATACTAATGAGGCATGGAATTAACAAAAAAGACAAAAAATTAACAAAAAAATAGATTACAAAAAAATCAGAATGAAGTAAAATGCAATTAATAGTCAAGATAGTTTCACAAAGCTTCTCTCACAGTTCTTAATCATAATTTAAAAAGGGGGGGAGGGACACCTGAATGGCCCAGTTAAGCCTCTGATTCTTTTTTTTTTTTTTTTAATTTTTATTTATTTATGATAGTCACACACAGAGAGGCAGAGACACAGGCAGAGGGAGAAGCAGGCTCCATGCACCCGGAGCCCAACGTGGGACTCGATCCTGGGTCTCCAGGATCGCGCCCTGGGCCAAAGGCAGGCACCAGACCGCTGCGCCACCCAGGGATCCCAGCCTCTGATTCTTGATTTTGGCTCAGGTCTTTATCTCAGGGTTGTGAGTTGAAGCCCCACACTGGGCTTCACACTGGGTATGGAGCCTACTTAAAAAATAAATATAGTAACAAAATTCATTGGTAGGAACTCTTCTCAGATACAACGGACTTTTTTTGTAGCACAAAATATGTTCCCATGTGATACATAAGTAACTAATAAAGCCTAAGAATGAATGAATGAATGAATGAATGCAGAAAGCCTAAGAAAAATCTGCCTCTTGAATTCAGCAAAAGATTCTGCATCAACTAGGGACTGACCTTATTCTGACCACATTTGGTTTTAAGTTAAAACTAATAAAACTCAAAGAAAGGAAAAACATATAGAACACAAGACTTTAATACCACTTAATTCTGAAACAAACATTTTATTCCTCATGCCAAATGTGTCTTTTATTACTTAAAAATGTTCAATTTTCCCTCCCAAAAAAGAAACATACCTTTGCCCTTTCTTTTGTTAACCTTGGCCATGACTGGCCAGATTCACCTTTTCGTAAACAACATAAAATTGATCTGTCCGTTCTTTTATGCTTGGAATCCTAAAAACGAAAACAAAAACAAAAGCATCATCACATCATTTATCTCTCCAGTATCACTGTAGAATAGAAAATAGCTGGTCATTCCTCAACTTTCCTTTCTAATTTCTTTCCCTACGTTTTCTCTAAACTTTAAAGAAACATCCCCTAGATTACTAAAAATTCAGTAGCTATGCAAATTGCAAAAAATAACTTTTCCCTCCCTGTACAAAGTGAATAAAACAAAAACCTTAAAGAAATTAACCAAATATAATACAATCATAGAATAATTTAAAGATTCTATAAAGTTAGATTAAGACAAACCTCAAGAATATTGCCCTAAGTCGAAACAGTGATAGCAAGAACAAAAAAAAGAGTATGCAGAGAGGCAGTTGCAGAGGGAAATATTGCAAAAATATAAATATGCCTAGTTAACCTCTGAACTTTTTTATTTTTTATATTTTATTTATTTATTCATGAGAGACACAGAAAGAGAGAGGCAGAGACACAGAGGGAGAAGCAGGTTCCACGCAGGGAGCCCGATGTGGGCCTCGATCCCAGGACTCCAGGATCATACCCTGGGCTGGAGGCAGCCACTCAACATTCAACCTGAGCCACTCAGGGGTCCCATAACCTCTGAACTATTAAGAAAAACAATTACTGCTTACTGCTAAAAAGAGTACTTGATGTATGCCCATTTCCTCACATATAAATTGGAATTAAAGCATCAAGACTACTTACATTTGGATCAATACAGTGAAAAAGATCAATTTCATTTAAATGTTTAAAATTATCACTTCCTCCAAGACAACTGTGTAAAAAAAAAAAAAAAAATGAGCCTCTTCAAAGAGATAAAGATTAGTATTAATTTCAGTAAAAACACAAAACAAGCTAGCCAAAGTTATTCAGTTGTCTGACACAAACTTATTACCCAATGATGTAAAATGGTAATTTACCTGAATGTAAGTTTGGATTTTTCAAAATTTACATTAACATCTTTACTGTCTTCAACACAAAATTCAATGAAGACGTAGTCCCTTCGATCGTACCACTTTGCAGAAGCAGGCTGCCTACAAAGAGATAAAATTAGACAAAGTTAAGCTGGAATTCATTAACTGAGTATTTACATAACCTCCAGAGTTTGGCATATAAGTAACGTTTCTCTACTCCACTAGAACACTGATTATTTTGAGGCAGATTATTTTATTTTAAGTAGGGGCTTGAACTGCCAACCCTGAGGATCAAGACTGAATCTGGTTTCAAAGACCCTGACACTTAACTGAGCCACCCAGGTGTCCCTTGAGGCAGTTAACTATAATTTCAAATGGAAACTACATCTTTACTCTTTAACAGCTGCATTCCAAGTTAAAACACAATGATACTGATTTCACAATAGGAAAGAATTAAAAAATGAAACAACATACAATAGGGTTAACCATTAGGTTGCCCTGTCAAAATTTATGTGCCATATACCTTTAGTCTTGCTCCTAAATGTCAATTTCATAGAATTTAAAAAAAAACAAAAAAAAACAAAAAACAAAACAAAAACACATCAGAACTAATCCACTGTCAACTGAAATTCAGAAACATTTCTACTTATAATGCCAGAACTAGGGAGAGGGTAGGGGAGATGATGGTAGAATTGACAGTGTTTTATTTTTTATTTTTTATTTTTTTTGACAGTGTTTTCAAAAAAGTTCTCATCTGTAGCTTATTTCTGACTATATCAGGCAACCATTTTCTGGGGACAAATTTTCCTAACTTTAATGACATTAAAGAATTAAGCTTTTTTACAGTCTTCTATTCTTCTACACATGTATCCAATAGATACTATACTGGAAAGAACCTGGACTATTATCTTTAAAAAAATCTTTTTCTAAAAAAAGGATTTTATTTATTCATGAGAGACAGAGAGAAGGCAGAGACATAGGGAGAGGGAGAAGCAGGCTCTTCACAGGGAGCCTGACATGGACTTGATCCCAACACTCTGGGATTACACCCTGAGCCAAAGGCAGACACTCAACTGCTAAACCACCCATAAGTACCTCACCCCCAATTCTTAACTTAAAAAAAAAAAATCGTTCCTTTACAGTGTTTCTCTTAAAAAGGTCTTTATTTATTTTCCAAATAAACAAGAAAGCAAGTGAGCAAGAGAGAGCAGGAGGGAGAGGCACAGAGGGAGAGGGAGGGAGAAGCAGACTCCCCCACTGAGCAGGAAGCCCAATGTGGGGGTCAATCCCAGGACCCCAGGATCATGACCTGAGCAAATGGCAGATGCTTAACTGACTGAGCCACCCAAGTGTCCCAAAACTGTTCTTTGTAATCTTTAGACAAATATCCTCATATGCATAAAAATTCCTAGTAAAATTCACACACATACACACCCGAACAGCATTTGCTCCATAGAATGAACCAGAAAGACAATGAGGGAAAGGAAGCAGAACCACATGATTTTCAATGTTCTGATGATAATGTAAAAGTTAAAGTTATAGGCTGGCTATACAGGAATTTTTATTATTTTTTGAACTCTTCGGTAATCCTCGAAGTTAAAAAACTTAATTATCGTATGTTCTAGCACTACACATAAGATAAACTCAAACGAAAGGAATTAGTTTGTTTCAAAGCTCTGAAATTCCCAACCCTAAGGAGTAGCAGTTTAAAGTCCCTATAAATAAATAAGTTGCAACCAAGTGCTCATCAGTGTTTTTACACAACTGTTAAACTTGAATAGTCATATTCCACTCTGGGATATTGATATCAGATCCAAAGGAGGTTAAAAACTATGGATGGCAGTTTTCAAAGTCTAAATACTAGCCAAGCAGCAAGAGTAAAGCTATTTCTTTAGGCATCTATCAATAAATTTAAAAAACAAATAGATTTTTACATGGATCTGAAGTCTAAGCAAACTTCTTTTGGACTAAGGAATCACTTTTAATGTCAGTATATTAATACGGCTAACAAACAAGTTAGGAGTTTTATGAATAGGTCACATTATTTTTAGCTCAATTCTTACCAAAATGGCACTCTCAATATGTGATTACCAAAATGGCACTCTCAATATGTGGAACCTGTTGGTCTTTAACAGAAAATATTTGCTAACAATGAAAACTTACTAGTTTTAGGTTCATAGATTTTTTAAATGTATTTTTTAAAGATTTTATTTTATTTTTCTATTAAGATTTTATTTATTCTTGACAAAAAAAGAAGGCAGAGACATAGGCAAAAGGAGAAGCAGGCTCCCCGCAGGGAGCCCGATGCAGAACTTGATTCCAGGACCCCCAGATTGCAACCTGATCCGATGACAGATGCTCAACCACTGAGCCACCTAGGTGCCCTGGTTCTTGATTTTCAAATTGAAGTGACCATATAATCCTATGTTTAAGAAGTGCTCGAGGGGATCCCTGGGTGACGCAGCGGTTTGGCGCCTGCCTTTGGCCCAGGGCGCGATCCTGGAGACCCGGGATCGAATCCCACATCGGGCTCCCGGTGCATGGAGCCTGCTTCTTCCTCTGCCTATGTCTCTGCCTCTCTCTCTGTGACTATCATAAGTAAAAATTAAAAAAAAAAAAAAAAAAAAAAAAGAAGTGCTCGAGAGGGCAGCCTGGGTGGCTCAGCGGTTTAACACCACCTTCAGCTTAGGGTGTGATCCTGGAGACCCGGGATCAAGTCCCACATCAGGCTCCCTGCATGAAGCCTGCTTCTGCTTCTGCCTGTGTCTCTACCCCTCTCTGTGTCTCTCATGAATAAATAAATAAAATCTTTAAAAAATAAAAAGTGCTCGTGATAACCTGAACAATGAATACCAAAAAACAAAAAAACAACAAAAAACAATGAATACCATGTGCTAAAATACTATTCCCTTTTTTTTTAAAGAATAGAAAAAAATTTTTAAAGATTTCATTTATTCATGAGAGACATACACAGAGAGACAGAGACACAGGCAGAGGGAGAAGCAGGCTCCATGCAGGGAGCCTGATGTGGGACTCGATCCCAGGACCTAGGATCACACCCTGAGCTGGAGGCAGACGCCAGCCTCTGAGCCACAACCTCTGAGCCACCCAGGCGTCCCTAAAATACTATTTGAACTAAAGGAACCAGGTTTCCTATAAAGAAATGGCTGACCTCAAGGCCTGAGGTGGGAAATACAGATGAGGTTGGGACATCTTGTGCAAATGCAGCTATTAAAAACTATGAGGTCAGGGGCAGCCCAGGTGGCTCAGCGGTTTAGTGCCTGCCTTCAGCCCAGGGCCTGATCCTGGAGACCCAGGATGAGTCCCACAGTCAGGCTCCCTGCATGGAGCCTGCTTCTCCCTCTGCCTGTGTCTTTGCCCCTTTCTCTGTGTGTCTCTCACGAGTGAAAAAAATCTTAAAAAGATTACTGAAACTTTGAAGATTTGAATATGGACAGGATATTAGATAATATGAAAAACACTGTTAAATTTTGGTAGGCATGAAAGGCACTACTTTTATGGGGGAAAAATCCACTGAAAATGAAAACTTAGGTATATGGAGTTTATTTTTGGAGTTTGCTTTAAAAGACTTCAGGGGGGCACCTGGATAGCTCAGTCTTAAGAGTCTGCCTTCAGCTCAGGTTATGATATCCCTAGGTCCTGGGATCGAGCCCCACCTCAGGCTTGCTGCTCACTAGGGAGTCTGCTTCTTCTCCCTCTACACCCTCGCCCATTTTCTCTCTCAAATAAATAAAAACCCTTATAAATAAATAAATGGCTTTAGCAGAGGCACCTGGGTGGCTCAGTTGGTTGAGCATTTGACTTCAGCTCAGGTCATGATATCCAGGTCCTGGGATCAAGTCCTGGGTCAGGCTCCACATTCATCAGGGAGTTGTCTTCTCCCCTCTCCACCCCAAGTCATGTGCTCAACTCCCCCTTTCTCAAAAAGGTGAAATCTTATAAAGTAAAAATAAAAGACTTCAGGAAAGAAAAAGGGGGCAGATAAAGCAATGTGGCAAAGGCCTGCGAAGCACTGAATCTGGATGACAGGTAGGTGGGGAATTATGTTGATTATACCTTCTTTTTTTCATTATACTTTAATTTTTTTTTTTTTTTATGATAGTCAGAGAGAGAGAGAGGCAGAGACACAGGCAGAGGGAGAAGCAGGCTCCATGCACCGGGAGCCCGATGTGGGATTCGATCCCGGGTCTCCAGGATCGCGCCCTGGGCCAAAGGCAGGCGCCAAACCGCTGCACCACCCAGGGATCCCTTTTTTTCATTATACTTTTAAAAAAAAAGTTACTAATGGATTCTGGCAGAGAATACTTCCTTCCTTTGGTGTAACCCAGTCTAATTTTGAAATTGTGTTTTACTTGATTAATGAAAGGATTCTATCCCAAATATATTTTACAAATGGTAACTCTGGTAAATGTTTTTGTAGCCAAATTTAACATAATCTGAAGATTATGTTTACCTTGTAAAAGTTGCATATTAAAAGCCTACTACTGTGGGGCAGCCCGGGTGGCTCAGCGGTTTAGTGCCGCCTTTGGTCCAGGGCCTGGTCCTGGAGACCCGGGATCCCACGTCGGGCTCCCTGAATAGAGCCTGCTTCTCCGCCTCTCTGTGTCTCTCATGAATAAATAAATAAAATCTTAAAAAAAAAAAAAAGCCTACTGTAATAGTGAAAGAGCACACTAATGGTGACATGGTTATTACTACAGCTACATAAAAACCCAACTATCATATTTGCTCTTCAGTTTGTTCATACTGAGAACTTTGGAACCAGAGAATCTTTTTCCTTTTCTCAAATTCAAATGAAGTTATCTAGAATTAGATCATTATTATGGGCTGAACTGTATCTTCTACAAATTCATATGTTGAAATTCTAAACCCCCCAGACTTCACAATGTGAATGTATCTGGACAGAAGATATTTATTTTTAAAGACTATTTGAGAGAGAGAGAGAACCCTCTCTCTCTCTCTCAAGAGAACCAAGCAGGGGGAGATGCAGAGGGAGAAGCAGGCTTCCTGTTGAGCAGGGTGCCTGACACAAGACTTGATCCCAGGGTTCTGGGATCATGACCCAAGCCAAAGGCAGATGCTTGTGACTGAGCCACCCA